TTTCATGTAGTAAATATAGAAGATGTGTGTGGGTTTGACCTCAGAGCCTTACAATCATTAAAGAGACACTCTACCACTTGAAATACAGTCCCTGACAAGAAGTAAAAATTAGTAAACTGGGTCTCATTGCTCATGCTTGTAATCCTAGCTACTTCGGAGATTGAAACTGGTAGATCACGGTTTGAGATCAGCCTAGGCAAAGAAGTTCATGAAATCTCAATCAATAAAAAAGTTGGGTACAGTATATGAACCTGTCATTCCAGCTGTTTACATGTGTAAACAGAAAGACTGTGGTCCAGGCTGGCTTGTGCATGAATGTGAGATCTTATTCAGAGAAAGCAGGAATAAAGGACTATAAGCATGATTCAAATGGTATAGCATCTGCTATGCAAGTGCAAAGCCCTGAGTTCAAACTTCAATAACACTAAAAGAGAAAGAGAAAAAAGAAAATCAGCAAACTGAACCAGGCAATGTAAATAATATACTGCAACAAAGTTGAAGTTTATCCTGGAGATGCAAAGATAGTTCAGACCCAGAAAAATCTATCAACACAGCATTTGTAAAGTTGCGGTAACATCTTACCGAGAAAAAATCCCACATCCCTGGCGAGGTTCAGCAGTGGCCATGCACTGGCACAACACTGCACAGCCCATGTGGCTGGTCAGGGCTATGCTGCTGTGGACCCTGAACAGCAGCCATCTGGGGATGACCATGTGCCAAGACCGAGAGCCCCTTCTACATTCGACAAGGGGAAGACGAAGCCATTTACCACAGCAGGAGAAACAGGATGCCTGCTTTCCCCTCTGTTATCTGTTTAATTGGTTCTGGCTGATGATGTAATCAAATTACAATGACTGGTATGTATTAGTATAAGCATTAGTAATGACAGGACAATAGGAACAGACTCAAGTAAAAAAGAATTACTAAGGTTAATAAGAAAAATTAATGAGACGATAATGGCATATAAAATTATTTAAAAACCAAATATTTAAACTCACTCTTTAGTAACTTACCAAGGATCAATTTGAAGAAGAAATAGGACCATGTCAAGTCAGTCTCAAGAGTAAGAAAAACTATAAAGGATTTAGGAGTAACAGTAATAGAAAGGTAGAGCTTTGAAAAAAATAATAAAATATCATTTTATTATGCTGAACACCAGTGGCTCACATCTGTAATCCTGGCTATGCAGGAGGCCAGGGTCTGAGGATCAGGGTTTGAAGTCAGCCAGAGCAGCAAAGTCCTGTAAGATTCTTATCTCCAATTAACCACCAAAAAAAAAAAAAAAAAAGCCAGAAGTGAAGCTGTGGCTCAAGTGGTAGAGAACTAACATTGAGCAAAAATGTTCAGGGACAGTACCCTGGCCCTAAGTTCAAGCCTCAGGACTGACATCAATTTTAGGATTAAAAGAAATTACCCCTCAAATGGCTAGAAGGGCAAAGAATACCATAGAAGTGTCTGTCTTCCCCAAATTAACATGTAACCCTACTGTATGCCAGTCAATACTTATTTCTTTTAAAATAGATAATATTCCTTAGTTTACACACAGAAGTTATAGAACAACTGAGAAAGAATTATCAAGCAAGATGAGGAAAGCTACTGGCTGACGGTTGTGAAATGCTCCTGGCATGTAGACTGACTATGAGGAAAATCCTGGAGAAGAGTAGAAGCTTAAACGTGGAAGAACGTGGCCTGACACTCTTATGGGGTGTAGCAAGAAAAAGAAGAAACAGGGGTTGAGAACAGTAAGCATGGCAGAGCTGATGGCCATGAGCAGGTTTGGGTGAGACTCCTTGGAAAGGTAAAGGAAGACAGGAGGTACACGTGAGCCCACACTGGTACCTGTCTGGGCTCTGACATGTGCAGAAAAGGAGCAGAACACACACCCTTTCTACAGTACACTCCCGGTGGGTTGGGTACTAGGATGGGGCTTGGAATAGGAAGACAATAAAAGTTCTACACACATAACCTCTTTTACCCAGACACCCTCATCATTCTTATTCAGCCTGTGAGGGAACTAGAGGAGTCACATGTTCCTACTCAGCCTACCAGGGAACTGGAAGGAGGAGTCACATGCCATGTGTTTTTTTGTTTTTTGTTCTTTGCATTCTTACCATCAGGAGGGTTGAGCCCAGGAGGGCACTGGATTAAGGGATTTAACACTAGGCCCCTCATAGCTACTCAATACATATGTATTAGGAGAAGAAGATTCATCAAAAACCAAGCACTGCACTTATTCACCACAAAGCTAAAGCAAACACAAACAAGTGCTGTAAAACACAGTGAATGGAGAACCTGGATTTTGAGCAAAGGAAGGGCAAAAAATCTACCCACTCATCCATCCCTTCCCCTCTCCCCTGCTTCCTTCCCTGTCCCCAGTCATGCTGGGAGTGAGTATTCTCTACCCTGTGGTATGGAAAGCCCTGCTCCCACTGAGTTGATTATCAATAAAAATTAATCGCAAAAGCCCTATGATTAGAAAATTAAGATTGGAAAAATATCAGATGTTTTCTATATTTAGTGCACCAGTCTTTTACCATGGATGAAGATTTTCAATCATTCACATTTGACTTTACAATTCTTAATCTTCTCTCTCAAAGTCTCCTGAAGGAACCCAGTTAGGGGCAGAGCAACCTCGGATTCAAGGGGATGGCTGTGCCATTAGGGGGAAACTCTAGGTAAAGAGCACTTTTCCCTAGCCTCAAATAATGAAGCCTAGATGGAGATAATGTTAGGACCCATTGTGACCATCCAGCGGACCGCATGGAGGCAGGCAGGCACAGGAGAAAGATTACACCCGAAGTGAGTCTCTCAGCCCACGTGGTAGCCTCTCTTTTTGCCAATTGTAATTGTCTGAGCACTCACAGAAGTTACATAAGTCCCATAAAATATTGGGGCTCCAGTGTCCCAAGAAGTAGCCACGTGGAGTTCCAAATTTGGGGCCAAATTTGATTGCATTAGGCTTAAGATTGGGCTCAAAGTTGAGTGGTTTTTATGAAGAATTTTAGTTGTGTCCCTCCCATGGTAGGGACCATGCTTGGTTAAGACCAAGCATGTTCAGCTCACATGAGGGGAACACCATAGCAAATGTGATTGTCACCACAGTTGCTGGGTCCCTGGGCCTTTGAGGACCTTGAAGTGAGGTTCAGAATTTGACAGCCAAAATTTTGTCCTGAGGCCCTGCAGCCTATATGGAAATCTGAACTCTGAACCTTTGGACTAACTGGTCACTTACCCGAGAGTAAGAACCAATCATCCACTGTTGGATGGGTAGGAGGTAAAGCGCTTGGTCAGGAGAAAGTTAACTTGGTGGTCTTCTGGCAACAGCAATGTGGGACCATGGGCTAGGTCCCGAGGCAGCTGGCCAGACCCCTGTCTGAAGTGTGTGTGTGTGTGGGGGAGCAAATCCATCAGGGAACCTACTCTGGATTTTGGCACCAAATGTTAGGGTCCATCATGACCATCCCAGGGGACCACTCGGAGGCAGGCAGGCACAAGAAAGATTATTATAAGGTTTATTAGAGGGGCCATATCTCCCTGGGTGAAGGAGCAATATGGCATCTGCCTCTATCCCGGTTGGTACCTCTGGGGCTTGTAGTGAGGTAAGTGCACAGGGAGGTCTGGGTGGAGAATGGGAGTGGCCAGGAATATGGCTGGAATGCTAGGGTGGGGAGGAGCTCAGGTCTGGATGGAGCCAAGGACTGGAGGTGGGGATAATGCTAACAGAAATAACCTCCAGGGGGCTAGGAAGGTGGGTCAGGGGTACAGTGCTTGCTTTCCATGCATGAGGCCCTGGATTCAATTCTTTAGCACCGCATACACAGAAAAAGCCGGAAATGGAGCTGTGGCTCAAGTGGTAGAGCGCTAGCCTTGAGCTGAAGAGCTGAGGGACAGCGCCCAGGCCCAGAGTTCAGACCCATGACTGACAAAAAGAAACTCCAAATGATTTATAACAGAGAGCCTCTAAAGCATTTCTTTTTTTTTCCTACTTATCCCATCCCCTCTAACTCATCTTTTGTACATCTCACACAAATGTTAATCTATCTATCTATCTATCTATCTATCTATCTATCTATCTATCTATCTATCTATCTATCTATCTATCTATCTATCTTGTGTCAGTCCTGGGGCTTGAACTCAGGGCTAGGGTGCTGTCCCAAGCTTTTTTACTCAAGGCTATAGCCTCTATCTCTTGAACCACAGCTCCATTTCCAGCTTTTTTGGTGCTTAATTGGAGATAACACTCTCCAGACTTCCTGCTCAGGCTGGCTTCCAACTATGATCCTTAGAGCTCAGCTTCCTGAGTAGCCAGGAACATAGTGATGGAGACACACTGGTGCCTGGCCTTCTTTACTTTTTGACCAGATCAATCACTTGGATACCTGTATAAGATACTCTAAAGATTTCATCTACCCCACCTCCTGTCCCCAGGAACACTTTGCCTGGTGGCAGCTTAATACCTATTTAGGATATCAGCCGCTCATCTTCCCTATTTTGATATAGGCAACAAGGATCTTGTCTATGTCCATTGTTTTCTCACTATCCAACTCAGGGCCTGATATATGTTCCTCCTAAATATTGTGGACTGAATAAATTAAACAACAACTTAAAATAATTTTTCCAGGGTTAAATAACCTTCTTGTAACAGAAGTTACCATGTGTGACTACATTTGAAAAATAAAAGGTTTTAAAGCCTTTACAATTTCTCCACTTGTAGTAAAGAGTAAGACAAACAGGAGAAAATTGCTTAAAAGAAAAACTGGCTACTTCACAACAGGAAACCTTTTTAATCTTTCTTAGTACAGCATACTTATTAAGTATTAAGTTTTATCTCAATTGCCTCGGAATGGTAGCCAAGAGAAATGAATGGCACGCAATCTAAGAAACATCTCAGTTGAGAAAAGGATCTAGAGAAGGAATAAGAAGCTAGCAAACTATTGAACCAGTATTGCTTCCACACAAACAGCCAAAACTTTAACTTTCAAAAGACAAATGGAAATTACCTTTTAAAGATGGTAGTTTTTGCAGTTCTCTATTATTGCTGGCATTAAACCGAGAAGAATTTTGCCGTTTGTCTTTCTTCATGACTGGCTGAGGGGCTGGTACTTTCATTTTAGTAGATGTTGAGGACTGGACAGACGCAATGCTATTTTTCCTGCTGGGAATCTGCTTTAGAAATAAAAACAAGAATGAATATTTAAAATGGCTGTATTTGTAGCACAATCAAAATATAGAAAACACATACATAAATCTCATCCTAGAACAGTGTCTGTCATTCCATTGTAGACATGAGCCCTTGTTTGGAGCTGCTAGACAATGGGTCTTATGAAACACCTCTCTGGAAGTAGTGCTGTGGCTCAAGTGGTAGAGTGCTTGCCTTGAGCTGAAGAACTGAGAGACAGTGCCCAGGCCCAGATTAAAGCCCCAGGACTGCCAACAAGAACAAGAACAAGAACAACAACAACAAAACCTGAAAAAACCCACCTCCAACATGTTCATCTGAGAGGGATTCACAGTCACCTATTTCTTATATCTCCAATTTTTTTTGGCAGTACAGGGGTTTGACCTCAGGCCTCATGCTTGTTTTTTGTTTTGTTTTTGAAGGAGAGGAGTGGTTATTTTTGAGATAGGCTCTTACTCTGTGCCTAGGATGGCCAGGACTTCAATCCTCCTAGTCTGAAATCTCGCCTTGAATATGATCCTTCAATCTCCACTTCCCAAATGACTAGGATTACAGGCTTGAGTTGCTGTGCCCAGCTCTTGAGTTCTAAGGTTTGTTGTTTTTGTTGTTGTTGTTGGTTGTGGAGCTTGAACTCTGGGTCTGGGCGCCGTCCCTCAGCTCTTCAGCTCAAGTGCTCTACCACTTGGGCCACAGTGCCAGTTCCTGTTTTCTGGTGGTTTATTAGAGGTAAGAATTTCACTGACTTTCCTGCCCAGGTTAGCTTTGAACCTTGATCCTCAGATCTGTCTCCTGAGTAGCTAGGATTATAGGCATGAGCCACCAGCATCTGGCAGTTTAAAAATTTTTTAACTATAGTTAATGTGGTAGGATGAATAACAACTGCCACAAGAATGGTCATGCTGGGGGAGGGGGGCTGGGAAGGTGGCTCAGTAGTAAAGTGCTTGCCTTGCATGCATGAGGCCCTGGGTTTGATTCCTCAGTACCCCATAAGCAGAAAAAGCTGGAAGTGGCACTGTGGCTCAAGTGGTAGAGCACTAGCCTTGAGCTGAAGAGCTCAGGGACAGCACCCAGGCCCAGAGTTCAGACCCCACAACTGACCAAAAAAAAAAAAAAAAAAAGAATCGTCATTCTGGACCATCAATGATTCACACCTGTAATCCATCAATGACTCACGCCTGTAATCCTAGCTACTCAGGAGGCTGAGATCTGAGGATCATGGTTCAAAGCCAGCCCGGGCAGGAAAGTCTGAGAGACTCTGATCTCCAATTAACCACCAGGAAACTGGAAGTGGCGCTGTGGTTCAGGTGGTGGGGTGCTAGCCTTTGGGACAGCGCCCAAGCCCTGAATTCAAACTCCACAGCCAAAAAAAAAAGGTCACATCCTAATCCCACATACGTGACCTTACTTGGTAACAAAAACTTTGTGGATTTGGCTGCATGCAAGGCCTTGAGATGAGAAGGTAATGCCAGATCCCCGAAGGGCCCAATGCCTTAGACAAGCATGGGAACATGCTTCCCACGGCCGTGATGACTGAGGAGGCGCTCTGCCCCAGGGAGCACAAGCGTCTCCAGACGTGGACCCGGTGTGATGACAGCGTCTCCTCCAGAGACAGCACAGCCCTGTCCTACCTTCACTTTCCACTTCTGATCCCCTCAAACAGCAAGCCAGTCAGGCTGGGTGCTATTGTAAGCCACTCGGGTTGTGGCAGTTTATGTTGAACAGAAAGTCTGTCTGGGAGAATACTTGTAAGGGCTAGGTTTCCTTGCTAGCTCACCACCCAGCCTCAGGAATGAGCACAGGCTGCCTACAGGCCCTTCTCCTGAGCCAGGGAACTGCTCTGGCACCTGGCTTCTTTATTTGTATGCATCTCTAGGCTCCCAATTCAAGCCTCATCACACTCATTAGGACTGTATATTCCTTTCTGGTCAACTGCAATTCAGTGAAATACTTGAGTGAGAGTCCGAGGAGATATGTGGCAGAGGCACTGGAGGTACCATGTTCCACAGGCCTAAGGGGATCGATCCTATGGCGTTCATCTGGGCCCACAGCTGACACAGCACATTGGTTTGTTACCACTGGGGTCCAGCAGTGACAGCCACCAGCCAAACAGCAAGTGAAGATGTAGAGTGTGCTTCGCTGTGCGCGGTCTATTCTAAGCAGTGGAGCTCGGTTCTGCAAAGCCCTTGAAACAGGCCATCAAGCACTCATCTGGAGGTGCTCTCCCTCCTTCGCCCCCCAAGCCCACTCCAAGTACTGGGGAGCTTGGAGAATGCATACATCAACTCAGGCTCCAAACTAATCTGCTCGCATCCTTGAATGAAAATTGTGCAAAGCAGTAAAAGCTGCTTTAGTTTTAACAAGCAGCTTTAGAAGACTTGAAAAGAGTTTTCCAAGATGAGATCAGCAAACAGAATTCTGACCTGGGAGCAAGGGGTCTAGGGTCTCTTCTCTCTCAGCCTGTGGTTTCTTGGTCAAAATGCACTTCCTTGGGCTTTGATCTAGATATCCACTATTATCTGAATGTGGCCTTTTGGCCCCTCTTCCCAAAATGCTCAAGTGTTAAGAATTTAGTCCTGAGGGTAGTGGTGTGGAAATTTAGGAGACAGGGCCTATTCGGTTGGCCTGGGAGAACAGCTCCTCCCCATTTCCTCTTCACCTACCTGAAACCAGGAATCACCTGGCTGTAAGTCAGCAAAGGATCCCAGGCTCTGAGGTCACTTCCTGAGCCGCCCAGACAGTGAGAGCTTCCCCAGGCTCTGCAGTCACTTCCGCATCCACTGTGGTCCCACCTCCCGCCTTCCCCTAGATAATCTGGCTCAACACAAGTCCCCTCCTCTCTTTCCCTCTTTTTCTCCTTTTTCTTCCCCTTCGTCTCTGTGCACCTCCATCTTGTGCGGGCTGGCAGTTTGCTCTCCCCTCAATAAACTCTTTTCTGCCCGAACCATGTGGCAAACCTTACATCTGTTGCCCAGAACCTGGGAGGGGGCAGAGTTAGGAGCCCATGGATTCTCTCCTCTCTCTTCTCTTTCTGAGGTTTAATCTGCCTCCTTGACCACCCCTCTGTGGACCAACATTCTGGAAGCTGAGAACCCCACCTCAGATTTCTCACCTTTATCGTTGCTGTCTACAGTTCTACCACACCATTTCCTCTCTACAGCTGGTGAGTGACTTCCCTCCCCTATACATCTGGTGAGTGCTACTTTACGAACCCTCTGCTGTCTGTCTAGACACGGCACCAGTCAGAGGGTTCCTATGCCTCACTGGCTGGTCATGTGGGGACGCCTGAATAGGGGACTCTGACCCTCACTCTGGAAAAGGTTCTGGGAATGCATCAGGACTCAGGCCATTCCTAAGCTTTTAGCCCTCACCAGACTCCTCCCCCTGTACATCTGTGTGACTCTGCCCCCTATGGGGCCTCCCATCCCCCAGTCCTCACCAGACTCCCTGCTGTCACACTGAGCCAGAACTCCCTTGGGACGATTCCTTCTCCTTTAGTCTCTCACTCAAACCAAAATGCCTTATAGGCTAGAAAATCAGCCTCAATGGCCCAACCTTTTGTTTTGTTTTGTTTTTTTTGGGTCCGGTCATGGGGCCTGAACTCTGGGCCTGGGCACTGTCCCTCAGCTCTTCAGCTCAAAGCTAGTGCTCTACCACTTGAGCCACAGCGCCACTTCCGGCTTTTTTC